GAATTAATGAGGGTTTTTATATTTTAAAAAACCAATTTTTGATCCAATGTATAGAGATTTGATTCAAAAGTATATTGGTATTAAAGCATCTTTCTATATTGCTACTGCTAACTTGTAGCATAAGTTTGTTAAATATTGGAATATTGAGTATTTATGAGTTGATAAGTATATTATTGTTTGTATTAGTGAATAGATGTAGCATATATTTAGTGCACTTTGTTAGAAGGCTTGATAGTTATTAAAGTTTATTTTTCAAAGAGAGCATATTTGAAGTAGGTATTCTATTAATGATGCTAGGATAGTATTAAACAAATGAGATATTTGTATAGAAAGAAGTTTTTTATATTGAATAGTATGAATGAATTAGAAGGTTTTGTTAAAGATTTTTTTTAGTATAGGTTTAGTAGAGCCTTTGCCATCTAAAAAAATTCTTAGATATCTAATTATTTTATTTAGTTTGCAAGATAAAATTGGTTAGTTGTTGAAGTTTAATATTGTTATATCTAAAATAGTGTTAGATAATACTTTTTTGTTAGGTAAGATGTAAATAAGGTCTGATTTAGATGGGTTAACTTAAATATTGTTTAGTTTTTATAGTTCTGATATGTTGTTTAGAATCTTTTAAAGATCATTTTTGAATTCATAGTGCCAAACTGTATTATTTATAAAAGCAAGAAGTAGTATTGTTATGTAAGTTGATGTAGTTAAAAATATTGTTTCTAAAGAAGATTGTGATAAGATTTTGAGAAGTTTGAAATTATATTTTGAATTTATATAACTAAGAATATGATCATAATAGATTTTTCAAAGTAACAGAAAATAAGTTTCTCCTTGTTCTATGCCTGAATAAAATGTAATTAGATCAGTAAGGCCATAGGCTATAATTGCTTTGGTTTTTCTATCTTAATATAGATATTCAATGAAATTTAAACTAGGTTAAGAAATACCAATATGTTTGCAAGCATCTAATAGTTGTTTGATATTAATTTTGTCAAAAGCTTTGAACATATCTTGAAAGAGTATCCAAGCTTCTTTGTTGTTAGTTTTGTAATTTTCAATTGTGTTAATTAATATTTGTATAGGTATGTAAATAGAACTGTTTTTAATTGCTGCAAAGTTAAAATTATTTAGTAAGTGATGTTGGTTAATAGTTTGGTCAAAATGTGTAATAAAAATTTTGGTAAGACATTTTTTTATAAGTTTGATAAGGAAAATAGGTCTAACTTGATCTAAAGTAAAGTTCTATGAGGATTTTTTTAAGATTAGAAAGATATTTAATGTTTTTTATATTGTTAATATTTGTTGTAATAAAAGGCATTTTGTTAAAAAGAGATGAATAATGTTTTAGCCTTTAGAGTTCAAATGTTTTAAGTGTTTATAATTTGTTTTTAATAGACTGACAGCTTTTTGGTTTAGAAGATCATGTATGACTTTGTTCTATTCCTCTAAAATAATTTCTGAAAATAAATTATTAAAAAGAAATTTATTTTCTAGATAGGATTTGTAAAGCTCATAGAATTTTGAATTTTCTTAAATTGGTGTATATGGTAATTTTTTGAAATAGTCTTGAAAGTATAATTTTAAAGCTTGTTTTATTTCAATTAGTTAAGTAGTGAGTGTGTTGTTAGATAGTAGCTGATTTAAGTTTATACTATTATTGTATTTTTCTAAGATATTTCAAAAAAATATTTTAGGATTTTAGTAAAAGTTATTGTTTCTTTCTTTCAGTTTATTTTGAATTTTCTTTAAAGTGTTTTCTTGTTTTTTTTTACGAATTTAGGTTTTAAGAGTTTTTATTTCAGTAATAAAAAAGTTTAATAGAGTAGTAAAATTAGAAATATTAATAGTTAGTATTGGTTATAAAAGGATTAGTAAGATGTTTTGTAGATATTTATTAATATATGAGTTGTAGATTTGTGTAAAGTTGGGTTTATTAAAGGATGATTTGAGTAAAATTGTCTTTTTAAGTTGTTTATAAAGTAGTAAAAGTGTGAGTAGTTGTTGTTCATTATTGAATAGATATATTTTTGTTTTTTTAAATAGAATATGTTTTTAGACTGTTTTGGTTAGAGCTTTGTTAATTTTATTCTAAATATTATTGAGTTCTGAACTGTGGATAATGTTAGTAATGATTAGAAGAAGTTGTTAAAGATTTTGTTCAGTATGGTTTTGGTAGTTTTCAATTTATTTATTTTGTATGAGTTTTCATTAATAGATAGTTCTTGTTTGAAGTTATTGTATATTAATTTTAGGTATATTAATTGTAAGTTCAAGTGATACTATTAAATGATCAGTTAAGGTAAATGAGTTTGATAAGATGTCAACATAGTCTGAAGTGTAATATGAATATTAATTAATATTTGGTCAATTTTGCTATAGTTGTTATTATGAATATAAAAAAATTTAGAAGTAATAAGAAAAAAGAGCCTATAGGTGTTATAAAATTGAAGAAATTTAAGAAATTTTAAAAGAAAGTGTTTAGATGTATTTAAACTTTTTTGTAATAGTCTATTTAGTTTTGGATTTGGAACTCTATTTAGATCACCTATTAAGATTATTTTGTAATTAGTTTTGTTAAAGATAAGAGTAAGATATAAATGAATGTCATTATGAAGTTAATTTTTTTCTTAACTTAGAAAATACAGTTGGATTAGTTTGATATGAAAATTTTTAAGAAAGGTATCAATTTTTAAAAGAAAATTTTTATAAATTGAATTTTTTCAATATGTTTTATAATTAATTTGTGAATTAATATTTTTATACTACTCTGGTGAGTATTACTTAGTGTTTAGAAACATTTATAGTTTGTAAGTTTTTGTAAAAGGGTTAAAAATTTTACTTTTTTGCTAGATAAATGGGTTTTTGAAATTCTAAAAATATCTATTTGATTTTCTGAAATAAAATCAATTAAGCTTAGTTGTTTAAAATTATCTAAAAAACTGTTTATATTTAATAAATATATTTTAATTGATTTTGTAGTATTTGAGTTTTCTAAAAATAGAATATTATTATTTGTATGTGTTGAAAAAAAGAATAGTTTGGATATTGGAGATATAGTGATTAATAGGAAGTTTTGGTATTTTGAAAAAGATGATATTTTAAATTTTGTTAGAGAATAACTTGTTTTGACTATAACATTTTGAAAATTTAAGATTTCAAAAGGAATATAATTAAAATTAGATAAGAGATTAGTTTTTTGTAAAAGGTAAATATGGGCTTCTTTATGTATATTATTTTTAGTTGTTTTAATAGAGATTTTAATGTAGTGTTCTAAGTAGTATACTTGGTATTCATTTTGAATAAATTTTAGGAAGAAGCCTATTGATTGTAGTACTAGTAGAAGTTGTAAATTATGAAATGAAAGGTATTTGTTAAAACATATTAAAGAGTTGTATATATTTAAAAAATCAGAAATTTGAGTAAAGATTTTTTTTAATAATTTTAGTAGTTGGTAAGTTAATAATATTATTTGGATTATCTGTTAATGATTCACAGTTATTATTAGCAATTTTTTGATTTGTTGAAATATTGATAAAAATGTTAGGTATTTATAATTTTTTTGATGTAGTTGCAAGAAAGTTCTTTAAAAAAAAGTTCTCAGAAGAATGTGATAAGTTGTTATCTAAGAAATTAGATTTTTCTTCTATAGAAGCACTCATTATATATTCAGTTTTTATAGTTGTAGAGGATACCATAGTCTGTTCTGTATGTTGGATCTGATCATCATTAACTTAATCCTTTGCATAGTAAAAAGTTTAATTAAATTTTAATAAAAATAAAAACATAACCTTATCCTTAATATTTTTTTTCTTATTTGATAATCTTGTTAAGATCTTTTTTGTATTCTATATTTTTGAACTAATGTTCTCAATGTTTTTGGTTATTGAATCTTAACCTCTCTTAGTTTATACTTTTAAACTTTTTAAAAATAATCTATTATACTGACCTCTATTAGAATCAAAAGATTTCATTAGATTTTGTCTAGAACTAGCTATTATTATAAGTTTATGTAGTATTTCTTATTATTAGATTTGTGATCTTATATTATATCTTATAACTTCAGTTATTCAAATCAGACTTTAACTTCTATTTATCACTGTATGACTTCTCAATTGCAAGTCACTTGTTATTTCTAATAATAAGTCTATTTATAGACATCTTGGATTTCTAATTCTATAATATTGCAGTTTCTTATTTTAGAAATATATCTTTACAATTGCTATTATTAGGATTTAAACAAACAGTCTTGTGATTTATAACCTTAGAACATAACTGCAATATTATCAATCCAAAAGGTTTTATCTTTAATATTAAAAAAATAAAATCAATTAAGAAAATAATATTTAATTAGTAATTTTGCTATAAGTATTATCAATTAATATTTCTTAATACTAGTTACAAATCTCAATATTAATCTAATAGTTGTTAAAAGTAAAAATAATATAAATTATTTGTTATATAATTTTTTTAGCAAATAAAATTTTATATATAAAAAAAAACATATTACTAATAAAACTTTTTAGTATTATATTTAAGGGAAAATCTATTTGACACCTAGGGCAATTTTGCCTATATATTAGATAATCGCTGTGTAACACAAATTTTTGATCATATATCATTCGTAGTAGAATCTACATATTATCACGTGTTAATGTCCTTTTATATAAATATGATTAATGATACATTTTATTAAATCACACACGGTCAAGAAAATTTCTTTATTATAAGAATTGCCAGTTCATTATAAAAAGAGTTGGCCACATATTTTTTAAATACTTTTATAAAAAGTTTGCATTGGTTGACATTGTAACCTTGGAATATTTTGCCAGAAGTAATCGTTAAATTTTTTTTAACAACGTAAGCTGAGTTTATAAAATTATAGCATATAAAGAAACTACAATTAATTTTTATCTTTATTTTTAAAGAAGGCAGCTTTCTTTATCTATTTATCTTTATTCCATTATGGATATGATTATAATACTATTGAAGTTAATGAAGCTATGTTTAATACGAACTTTTTAGGTGATGAGCCAGATTTTAATATGTACCTTTTGAATAACAAACCTAATATAGGGCCTAATAATAAACCTAATATGAAGCCTAATAATGAACCTAATATGGAGCCTGATAACAAACCTGATATGGAGCCTGGTAATGAACCTGATATAGAGCCTAATAATGATCTGATATAGAGCCTATAGAATCTGATATAGAGTCTATAGAAACTAACCTTGACTGTAATGATGAAAGTAGTGACAAAAGTAATGGCTGGAGTTCTGATGAAGATATTTCATTAATAAGTCCTCCAAATTTACATACTGGGATGCCATTTTCTTCATAGACTATCATTAACAAATTAATAAAAGATTTTGCTTATCATAATGGTTTTAGTGTTCGAAAGTATCATTCTGAAAAGTTAAATAGAAAATGTATTAGACACACATATTTGTATCGATACTTTTCTATATATAAGCCTGTAAAAGATAAAAGTTTAGAAAAACAAAGAAACAAAAGTTCTGCTCAGATTGACTGTCCTTGGAAAATTCATATTCGATTTCAAAAAAAGAGTTATGATTTAAGGGTTTTCTCATTTGTTGATAAGCATGAAAGCCATCCTTTAACTCCAGTAAATTGCCAATTTGCATCTCAATATCGATGTTTAACTCAAGAAATTTCTAAAGACATTAAATTTTATACTCAAGAGGGTCACTTAGGAGCAACTGACCAATATCACTTATTAAAGGCTTCATATTCCCATCATACTTTATACAAGAAAGCCATCTATAATGCAATACAACAATTTCATAATGAGAGTATCCAAACCTTAATGATGCTGCATGATTACTTGAATATCTATTGGATCAAAAGCATAATAATAACAATTTGTATGTGGAATATAAGTTTGATCAAAGAACAAATGCATTAACAAATCTATTTTGGATGATGCCACATTAAATTTCACTTTGGGATCATTACTATAATATAATTATTCACGATAATACTGCCAAAATAAATCATTATGAAAAACTATTATTATTATTTATTTATATTGACAATAACCATAACTCAAGATTAGTCATTTAAGCCATACTCAATGATAAAACTAGAGAGTCTTATTACTGGGTACTAGAATGTGTGTTAAAAGCTACAAACTACGTTGAACCTAATGTCTTTATGACTGATACCAATCTGGCTATGGTTTCTGTTATTCCTGAAATATTTCCTAACACAATTTCACTTCACTGTATATGGCATTTGGGACAAAACTTAACAAAAAATCTGAAAAGCAAATTAAGTAACAAATTTGATAGCTTTATAAAAGCTTTTTATCAATGCTGTAATTCTCTTTCAATTCTAATATTTGAACATCATTGGACAGATTAATTAAAAATTACCCTGATGCAAGTAATTATCTTATCAAAAATTTGGAACTCTGTAAATCTGTGTGGGCCAAAACATTTACATTTAATATTTTTAATAATGGAATACAGTCTTCACAAAGGGCTGAGGCAACTAATTCTGTTATTAAAAAACAGTTAAATTATCGAAACATTAGCCTTTACAATCTATTTATAGAACTTGAAAAAAGACTTGCAACTGAAGTTATCAATAATGCATTTATAGATTAGAAAATGTTACAATGTCTTTCTGAAAGTAATCGGAATGTTGATAGTGTTTTTAAGCCTATTGATAATATTATTAAAAATTTTTTAATGCCAACAAGTTTAAAAAAACAACAGGATCAAATGAATCTTAGTGCACAATATCATGCAACAAGAGTTTCACATAAAGATCAATATAATAAGCAGGTAAATTAATTATCTCTAGTAAAAATGAATGAGCTAAGTAGCAAAGCTAAGCAGAGCTACTGATACAAATTATTATTTATTGAATTACAGTAGTTTTAGCTTATTTTAATTAGATTTTTTTATATCTTTAGATTCAAGAAATAGATGATAAATATATCGATGATATATTTGACTATCCTCAAGCTTTGACATCACATATTTTTCAGCAATTTAATAATTCGATTACTATGGTTTGAAATATGATCAATATTAATGAACCTACTTTTCTACAATTTGTATTTCTTCTTTCCGATGGCACATTTGTCTGCACTTGCATGATGATAATTTCTCATGGAATATTATACCAACATTATTTATGAGTTATGATAAAGTGTCCATCAGCTACATTTCATATAAGTATGATACATTTTCGATAGTTTAAAGATACAATTAGTAACAGCGCAGTTGAACAATCAGCAGTGATTTTGATTTCTCAATTTGATATTAGCAATTTCGAAGTTGGTGTACAACCTAATTATGATACTCAAGCTAAAACCAACACTATTTCATTGTTATGTGTGGGTATTAAAGATCTAGACCAGAATTTAGATAATTATCAAAACATTCAAAAAAGATATTATACAAATCAAGAAAAGATCAAAAAATGGACATTTTATTATAAACTTTGGGGTGTTGCTTATAAAGCTACAGAGATCGCTACAAATGCTAAAGATTATAGTCTTTTAGAAATACTTAATAATTATATAAATAGATCTATACATGAGTCAAGCTTTCAAACTAAATCTCAAATAAGTAGTTCTAGCAAAGAGAATCAGGTTATAGAAGAGAATGATGAAGTTAAACAAATTCAAAATCTAATTAAAAGATATGGAAAAGGAAGACTTTCTGGAAGACCTACCAAAAAATTGTGTATACAGAATAGTTTAGAAAAAGAACAATTAGTTATGGCTTCTCAAAATATTGATAATAATAACTCTAATATCAAAAAATACAAATATAGTCTTTGCAATTCATTATTTTATACGAAGGCACATTGTTCTTTAAATCCTAAAAGGAATAGACAACTGCTACAAAAACTTCCGTTATAATAACAAGCTGGATAGTAAGAAATAAAAAATACTATATGCATATGCGAGAGTTGTCATTTTATTTTTATTTTTCTGTATAATTTTTTAAGTCTATTTGAATCATATTAATAAATAGTAATTTATTTTTAAATATCTCATGCAGTTAGTAAAACAATATCATTAAGTGAAGTTATGAATTCCTATTAGTTTAGAGTTAGGGTTCTACCAGTAGATTAGGGTTCAGTTTAGAGAGCTATAGTTATAGATGCTGGTGAAACTGGTGACTATCTAAAATCTAATTGGCTGTTATATTAAATTTCACCAGTTTCACCACCATTCACCAAGAGTTTTACCAGTTTCACTAGCATCTATAAAATTAGTACGCAGAAGGCATTTCTCAAAACAAACTTTTGAATTATAAGCATTTTTTGTTGATTTGATTTTTTTATGCTTCTTTTGCATTACATGTGAGCTTGAAATCTGATTAGCTAGTAAAAGTTTTAGACTAGTGATTTAATTACTATTTAGCGAACATATGAAAGCAAATGATAGAAATATTGATTATTTTGAACAATATTAATACATATATAGCATTTAGGTAGAGTTAAACTTGATCCAGGTCAAAGTAATTCTCAGAAGAACCTTAGGGTTAGTGTGGGCCAGAATTATGTTGATACTGGCTAGGGTTTTTAATTAATTTGATCTGGGGTCAATGTAACTTCAAAAGAACTTTAGAATTAGTATAGGCTTGAATTATGTTAATACTAGCTGGGGTTTTTTAATTGATTAATTTCTCTAGGTCAAATATGTATATACATTTATTCGATTACTTATATATATATGCATTGATATTACACAAAATGCTTTCTGGGC